AAAATATCTAGCTAATTTAAGCATAATTTTGTTTCCTCACAGATTATATCTCTTAAAGTACAAAAGTTTCTAAGGAACATTGCATTTCCCACAGAATAGAAATCAAATAAATCCCAACAATAATCAACAGCTGTAATATTTTTCAATCAAGTTCACATTTCATCAACTGATCCAGATTATCATCTCAGTGACTGCAACCATATCATATTTGCAACAGAAGTTTTAAGTAGTAGGGAAATCATTATTTCTCTAGAAAAGAAATTCTATTACTTATGGTGGAATGGATACATCCTAATACATTCCTAGTCGACTCTTAAATTATTATAAGTAAAGTAAAAAGTAAAGAAAAAAAAAGTTTTGTTTTGTTTTCCCCAAAAGACAGCATTTTTACATGGAATCACATAAGGAATAGAAAAAACTATTAGCAGCAAAGATTTTCCATCCATTTTGCTTTTAAAGATAAATTTTCTTTCTTCACTGTCATGACAACAGTAAATGCTTAGTGCTATTTACACAGAAATATTCAGAAAAAATGTTTGGGTTTTTTTTTTACAGCATTTTCTAACACAATCTCATCATGAATAAGTGCTATTATTTTATACCATATTAAAATCTTTCTTACTAATAAAAAACTTAAATATTCTGTATATATATATATATATATATATATATATATATATTAAATTTAAATATATAATAATAATAATGGACTCTCGCATTGGTTTCAATGTATGTGGATCAGACAGCTTAGTTGATTCAGTTATGAAATTTCATGCAATGATCTTAAGTGGCATGCTAGTGATTTACAAAGGAGGCCACAGATGGAGCAAGAGTGAGGCTTGTGAGTTGAGATCATTGTTAGATTGGCTGACCTTTTAGATCTTGCTCTCACTTCTTGAAGATGATTCAGACAAGCAGATGGAAAACTGCTGAGTCCACTAAAACACATTGATCTCCATTCTACCCACTCCAAGGCTAAGTGCTGAAGGGTGTTATGTGGTATATTGACAGCTGCGAAGTTGCTTTTCAGCTTGTCTTTGTATCTTAGCCATGGGCGTCCTACATTCCTGTAGCCCTGATCTAACTGGCTATACATTAGGATCTTGGGTATCCTGTCATCAGACATTCTCAAGACATGGACAGAAGAAAGTGCAACGCTGAAATCCGAAGGCAGATTGTGATAGCAAAAAATGCCTTCCAAAAGCTAAGCAAAGTATTAAGAAAGAGAAAAATTTCTTAGAAACAAAGAAAAGAGAACTGAACTGTTATATAATCTCAGTCTTCCTATATGGCAGTGAATGCTGGACAATCTACTCACGGATGAAGAAGAGACTTGAAGCAACAGAAATGTTCTACAGAAGGATGTTGAGAATATCAAGGACTGAACATCTGATCAACGTCAAGATTTTACAAAAAATAGAAAGAAAAATGACACTTATACTTAACATCAGGAAGAAGCAGTTGAAATTTCTCGGGCGCATAATGAGGAAATATGGCTTGGAAAATTTGATACTCACAGGACAGATTAAAGGTAAGAGGGACAGAGAAAAACAATACATAAAACTTGAGTAAATGAATGGCAGATCAAGGTTTAACAGAGATAACAAAAAGAAAAAATTATTAAGAGCTACAAAGGACAAGAAATTGTGGAGAGCCATTATTAGCGACGTCTTAATGGGACACGGCACATAGAAGAAGATGTTTGAATTATTGACACAACAGAGTATTTGTTTTCTGTTTTATGAACACTTTGCTGCACTAATTTTTCATCTCAGTTAAGTAAAATATTTGTACATGTGTGAATTTTCCACGGGACATGTGAGTTGCAATTTCCATGAAGGCAATCTTGGTTGTACTTTGTTGAAAAGAAACAATTATTCAAATGCAAGGGAGATAACTCCGTATATTATGGATTACAATACCTACTTTAATGGCAATGTTATTTTTTTATACGAAAATTGGGTGAATGTTACTTTCTGTTGCTTTCAGGTTAATGCACTGACAGTTATTTAAAGAGAGTTTCATAAATGAAAGAACTAAACAAAAGAAAAGAAAACACGTCACTTGAAGACTTTCAACAACTACTAAAATAGAAATAGCACATATAACTTGCAAAGAAGATATGACATGTTGATGTTGTAGTGGAAAGTTTGGTAGTTACCATTTATTTAATGGCATTGACGGCCCAAATCAATCCATACAATTTTTTTAACTCTATGAATATGTTAAGCAAAATGCAAAAACAACAAGAAACATTTGTGATAAAAGACAAAAGGCAAACATTTGAATAACAAGTAATTTTCAATATATTTTTGTAATGAAAATATTTTACAAAAATGTAATGGATTTTTTAGGAGAAATCTTGTTAGTTTAATTTATGTTGAGCTCAAGTTTGATGAAAGATTAAATTTTGTCAATGAGTTCTGATTTGAAAGGATGTTTGTTAGAATCTGTTATTGAAGATTCCGTAAATTAATTGCAAGAGAAAAATTTACATTTAAGAATTTACTGTTCATGTAAGTAGTAAATTTTTGTAAAGTTGAATGCAATTTTGTGATCAAAGAAGTTATCTCTCTTTGATTGTTTTGTGTAATACAATGTTCTCGAATGTTGAGAAATAAAGTTGATTTGTTAGCAGAAATTTGTTTAACTTCTGCGTAAGGAATTTGGTGAGTGAATGGGAATAGAGTTCACTATTGAGTTTTGGTGAGTAAGTGTGAATATCGTTAAGTTGTATAATGCTCTTATGAATGAAAAACTTATTGTGTAACGTGAAGTTTAGTTTTAATTTGTTTGATGTCACAATGCTCACTGGCGATTGTGAATGAGTTTCTGTTTTTATTTGCTTTGGGAGGCTCACAGAGACTTGGCATTAACTTGGATTTCAGTCTCAATCTGTAAAAATTAGTTAAGCGTAGGTGGATAGTCAGGCCTACTTGTATATTTATTAACCAATGAGGGCTCGAGATTTTTTTATGTATGAAGTTGAAAGTGTTCCGTGACCTACATTTTGCACAGATTTGACCAAACTATTTTTAGGTATTGGAATGATTTAGAATTTGGGTTCTACAATGTGCTGCACAACTCAAAAAAAAAATACGGTTAAGAAAAAAAAACCCTCATGAGTGATAGAAAGAGACATAACAGCTACTTGCAAAAACTATTTTCCTAAAAAATTGTTTTGAGAGAAAGATTTAGTTAATATCAACTGATAGAAACACTGGCTGCTTGTAAGGAAATGGTTACCATCATTATTCTATACACAATTCAGATTGTTAAGTATCAGTAAAAAAAAAAGAAAAAAGATTTTTTAAACAACTGGAATTATGCAAATCTAATACTTCTAATGTTGGCCGAATTTTGATGACTTGTGATATTATCTGTCTGTATTTCTGAGATGAGGTATTATGTACACTATTTACCTTATTCAGACTATTGTCCTCATCTTTATCACCATATTTATTACAACACTCTGGCCTTCTTCAGGTGGTTGGCATGTCGAACTGAACCCTTTATTTTGCTTGCTGGGGTAGACTGTTCTAGTTCCATGTGCCATCTCTAATGGATATCAGTTATCTCCTGTTAATTCACCTCTCCAAGTTCTCTTAAGGACACATGGCACAGTGGATAAAGGCGCTGGTTGGGTCCAGTGATAGGACCCAAAGAGTGTGAGTTCAATACTCGGTTAAAGTAGTGGAGAACTTGGAGAGGGGAATTAACAGGAGATAACTGATAACTGACATCCATTAAAACATGGCACATGGAACTAGAACAGTCTACCCCAGTGATCGAAATAAAGGGTTCAGTTCGATATTCCAACCACCTGAAGAAGGCTGGAGCCTACAACGGCCGAAACGTTGTGATAAATATGGCGACAAAGATGAGGACAATAGTCCGAATAGTGTACTTGTGATATTGTTGAACGTACAAGTGACCAAGAGAAAAAGAGATGGCAGGATGCTATGATCATTATTTTGGGGATTTTCAAGAATTTAACTGTAAAAACATCATTTTCTGAGTTGATCAGATTAGAGATAAAAATGAAATCCATGAATACAATTCTTGGAGATTTATGTTTTATATTTAAGATTTAATTTCTGATTCTTTTGGAATATGACTGTTGAAAGTTATTGTCAAAGACAACCCCATTTACATATAAACATTATTTATATTTGCACTAATGTCTTCATCTTTGTTGTTATTATCATATTTTGGCTGTTGTGCTCTCCGGTTTTCTTTAGGTGTCTTGATCCAGATAACCTTCAGGGAATTTTAAATTGAACCTTTTTTTTTTCATCTCCAGTGTTTGTTCTCATTCTGCTGTCCATGTCAATGGCTGTCTTGTCTTGTTCTATTTCGTACTACTCAGGGATTGCTTGTCCTGTTTTCACTGTGTCTGAGTCTGTACTACCCAGCCCAGGAATTGAACTCATCGTAGCTAAGTGAATTAAAGTATTAGGGAAATTTTGGCATCATAATTGTGAGTTCAATCACTGGTCTGGGTAGTACAGACTTAGACTTAATGGAAAAAAGCAAACACTGAGCCGTAGCAAATAAGAACAAGTTGAGTTATCCCTAGATATTGGTTGGGGAATGAAATAATCTATTTTTGTAGATTAAATAAAAAGTTCAGTTTGACAGATACCTGAAGAAGGCCAGGGAGCATGATGACCAAAACATTGTGGTAACAACAGCAAAGATAAGGATATTAATCTGAATATAAATAATTTAAATAATGCTAACTGTTTATTCCACAAATTCAGACAGAAATTCATCCTTGATTGTAAATATGGCATAATTTGGTTTGTATCATCTTGTAAGTAAATGCTCCAATAATATTAGATGATGATTTCTAAATTCTTTTACACAGATGTAAGGAAAGCAACAAAAAAGTTCTTTATCTTTATAGTCAGTCGACTACTATTGTGCAATCTGACCCGGTTATAAAATATCTGATTTTAAAAGACATTTTAATGATTTATTTTAATTTTTTCTTGAAGAGTTATTGAAGGAACAGTTGTACCAGAAACATCGTCAGGAGTTGTGTCACCAAATTGAAATCCAAGTGAAAGAAATGGCAGCAATAAAATCGGATCTGGACCAATTGGCAGAAATCTCCAAGAAGAAGGTGAGATTGTCACTGACATCATGTGTGTCATGTCCTTCCTTGGAAATAGTTCTATTGGCAAATCTTTCAACTGGTGTCAGTCAGTTATGTGCCATGCGTGATACTCGCTTAGGCGATCATGTATCTTTTGAGAATTCATACCTTTCCCGAGGGTATTAGCATGTAAGTGAATGTAATGGATTTGACTGGAATTCACACTCGACTCTCCGATTCCTCAAACTGAGCCACTATCCATTATTCCACCGTGTCTCTTCCATATTGAACATTTTAATTACAAAAACTGAGATTGTAAAATTTTGGAAAGGATATAATAATTATTTCAGTCAGTCACTTATGTGCCATGTATAATACACGCTTAAGCGATCATGTATCTTTCGATACATGACTGACGAGGCAGATTTTTTCCTTGCAGTAGGTTGCTATTACTTTCTATGGTAGACAAATTGCCATCCAAGGCTATAGAACCTGGTCTGTCCTGCTATTTACCCATAGCTGCTATCCATTACTCCACCATGCCTCTTTAACTGGTGTAGGGGACACAAATCTTGCTTTTTGCCTGTGCTTCATTATGTAATTTTCTTGCTCTCAAAATGAAAGCCCAGCATTTGGAAACATAGATATCTTGGCAATGGATATTTTTTATTTAATATTGCTTGTCTTCAAACAGACACAACTGTTAAGCAACATGGAATTTGATAGAAAGGCATGAATCCCCTCTTCCCTGTGCTCTCAACCAGTCCTATTACTTTTTGATGTTTTTGAATTTGGGGCAAAACATTTCAGTTATTTATGTGCTTATTTGCATACTTTTGAGTGAGCAGTTGAAATATTGCTCACACTACCAAAAAATTGTACCCCACCAAGGAGATCGGAGTGTTTTATGTCGTTTCGCTGAAGTGAAGCAATCACTTTTGGAGGAAACTTTACTCATTGGCAAAAAAAAAAAAAAAAAAAATTCCTGAATATTGTTTAGAAAAGATTTGAACCTGGGAATGTTGCATACAATTACTGCCCATCACACAGAGTAATGCCAACTTCTTCAAGATTTTGATAGTATATCTAAGTACATGATATTTGACAACATTTAATTTAGCAAACTGTGGTGGAAAGCAACCAAAGTTGTCTCCCCCTTGAAATACTCGACTCTAAAAGTAATGGTCGAACCTCACTGATGGGCAGGAGCTAAATTGCACTGAATAAATAAGCTTCACTACAAGCTTTCAACGTTTGTCTGTTTTTACTTCACACCAACAAATTTTATATTAAACATCCATTTCATTCCGAAGTCATTTTGTTATCTCCCTTGGATTATTCATTGCTTTAGTGTTTCTTTGCAGGAGAGAGACTATTTGCAAGACACGGATAAATTGAAAGAAGAGATTGAAAAGAAGGAAAAATATGTCAAGAATTTGAAATGTGAAGTGGAGAAGTTGCAGCAGACCACTGATCAGTTGTTGTCAGAATTGGATGCCAAAAAGAAAGATTTGGCTGATACCAAGATTGAACAACAGTTGCAATTGGAGTGAGTAACCTTTTTTTTCCCATTCCATGGTCTAAGAAAACTCTTTTGATTCAGTCTATTTCCAAGCTCCTTTTAAAGTTGTAAATGATTTATTCGTAACGGGAAAAGATTGGCAAAAGGGTTGAACATAGAAGAGGGACCCTAAAGTAACATATTCTTTAGTACAACCCAAAGGAAACAGATTTATTGATTTAATTAAAACACCTTGCTTCTAATCATACCTTGAACCATTTCAATAGAATTGAGAGACTAAAAGACTTGGAATCAAATGGAATGAGGCATCAACTTTACATAATCTAAGTGTCAAGCAATCTTGGTGAAGGGCTTTTACAAAGAAAACAGAACTGCAATAGAAGAGTTAATAGGAGGGTAGAATTGGCCATTTATGGGGTCCCCTCAAAATTGGGCATTTGTAGGGTCTTCAAAATTCTCCTTTTTTTTGATGCTGAATTAAAATAATTTATTGTGATAATTATCTGGTCACTTATAAAGATCTGCTTACTTTTTTTCATTTCAAAATGAAAGCACCAAGTTCTGTCTATCCCAGTCATACATGGCCAGTCTTGTCTCTGTTGACAAGTTGAGATAACCTGCTATTTTTAAAAACAGTGAAATTAATATCAACTGGCCTAGAGATTGAGCTCTTGATACAGAAAATGTACTTGACAAGAAATGAACCTGTATTGGGAAAGCTGCCTTATTTATTAAGACTTTCAATCTATAAGCTGGTTGACATTCATTTCTCTGTGTGAAAACATAATAATAAACACAAAGATATCTACTCATATAAGTGTGCCCATTAAATATAGTGTTTGCAGTAATAATATTAAATTGAAAAATTCATTAATTGCTTAAATATGACTAATATTTAGCAACTCAAAATTGACTAAATCCACAACTGACGTCAATGTGGCTGAAACAATTGGAAAAGGAAAAAAGAAAACATAAAATTAAATAAAATTGAAATGTTTTCCTTTTCTGTTTATTAAGCTTGAACATGAAAAACAATTAAGCAGTCATTTAAGAAAGTTGAGTACAAATTGTTGCACAAAAGTTAAATAACCCAATTAATGGCCAATGTTTTCAGTTGTGTATATATATATATATATATTTGCGACGATGGATTTCTCGCCAATTAAATCATTAACCTTTGCATTTGTTTTTGTGTGAATAATTCATGAATTTGTAAATTGATTGCACGTTTATCGTAATTAAAATAACTGATCCAAGTGCGACTTTTGGATAATAAGTGTGACATTACTGTAATTATTGAACAATATAGTTCATGCCACTTTGACAGAAAATTTACCAGTAAAAAATTTGTATATCACCATATTTGTACATGAACGCACAACCTTTAAAAATTTAAAATCAAACTCAGCGTTGCTACTGTGCGCTCCAAAAACAATAACTCATTTCCAATAGCATTTTTCGGATACAACAATACATATATTTTCGTTGTCCTCTTATTACTGAGAGAAAAAACAAGAACAACATCTATTCTATACCTGAAGATGTCTGTAGGAACAGACGAAAGCTTGTAGTAAAAATAAGAACTAATACGGCAAAAATTTATAGAAACAAGGATCTTTTCATTCATAACGGATTCGGAGGTTTTTGTATATTATTTGAATTGTTTGCGACGATGGATTTCTCGCCAATTAAATCATTAACCTTTGCATTTGTTTTTGTGTGAATAATTCATGAATATATATATATATATATATATATATATATATATATATATATATATATATTGTGTGTGTGTGTGTGAAAAAATATATAAAATAGGGAAGAACTTGTTAGGTAAATAATCCAAAGTTCTTTAGTATTTTTGTTATTATTTTTAAAAAACAGTGCTCGATATGAAAGTAGAGCCTAAATATAATTATTTATTTAAAAATATGATTCCAACGCTACATAAGAGTTCTCATGTTTCAAAACAAGAGCAGAAAACTTCAATATAATTGATGTCAAGTCAGGGTAAGTTTGGGGTGTCTAAATTCAAAGCAGAAGATGACATCGTCTTGTCTGGTTAAGTGTCTAGATATTTATTTATTTTTTTTATTTTATTTTTTTACTGAAAGGATTTTGTGTATATAAAAAAAAAACTATAATTCGCTAACATTTGTTTTTTGATGACTTCATAAAGGTTTTTTTTTTCCGCTTTGAATTTAGACACCCCAACCTTACCCTGACTTGACGTCTTTGAATGTAACTGAGATATTGATATAAATTATTAATCCTTACGCCCCTTTTTTTAAATAATTGCTCTAGCCGTTACCATGGTAATTTTAATTGTAATAATGAATATGTTTATAAAACGTGTAAATTTCAAGAATTAGTTATTCCAAAAAAAATTTCGCTTATATATATATATATATATATATATGCTGTCCAGTGTTTTCTGCATTCTGTTGAGGATTCTTCTAGACTCGATGAATTACTATATATGGTTACACTAATTCCCCCAAAATTTCTATCACTTGTATATCCTTGCTTTACCCAGTTAATGCTCATGAGGAGTGGCTAAGGAAGAAAAGAAGATATGGCTCTTGGGGCACAGTCTGTGGGGTTTCATATACTTGGAGGAGTATTACCATGGAACTTAGTGAGTAGCAGTGCTATATCGAGTCTAGTCAGTTTCTTCTTCATCACCGAGGCTCATTGGTACAGTTTGTATGACACTTGCATTGTATAGAAATGGTCCAAGTTCGTTTCTCAGTAGTGGATGTACACTGCTGATGAATCCCAAATAGGACATAATGCTTGTCCAGTGCTTTCTGCATTCTGTTGAGGATTCTTCTAGACTCAATGAATTATTTTATATATATATATATATATATATATATATATATATATATATATATATATATTTAGTTTATGTTAACACACACATATATATATATGTGTTAACATAAACTAAATAATGAGATATTAGCAACTGTATATGTGTGCAATAAAGTGCATATGCAGATAAGCAAATAAATATTTATTTAATTTAATTTATGGTGTAAACAAAACTGCTCAAAACAGAGCTATGAAGTATATATTAATAAATACACATATACCTACATTTGTAGTGCAACAAAGTTTTATGGTTTTCCAAATCGTCAGGCACAGATGGCAATTGAACCACTTAATACAGTTGTTTGTTAAAAAATACTCATGGGAGAAGTGCTAAATTATACTCAGATTCAAAGCTCAAAGTTAATATAAACCCAATATATTGTTTGGGGGGGGGGTAAATACAAAATATAGCGTGTATGGAGGGAGATATTGGGAAAAAATGATGTATATTTAAAGTTTATATGGTACATGTTTTTCCATTTGTCGGGGGGAGGCAAGGTTTAATTTAAGAAATTATGAATTGTAAGGAGCAAGCAATATGAATAAAAAGGAGGGGTTAGGTGCAGTGGATTGTATATTGTTTATAAATAATGTCTATGATTCAAGAGAATAGCACTGCACAGTCTATAAAGTTAACATTTAATAATATTTGGATATAAATTAAAAAAATAAAAAATGTTGATGAAAAGAGAAGGTAAAAGGTGAGATAAAAAAATAAATTTAAAGAAAAGAGAAATGCTGTGTAACCTGTTACATAGATGCTTAAATGGTTAAAAGTAGGTAATAAGTATTTAATGGTTAAAAGTAGGTAATAAGTATTTAATGGTTAAAAGTAGGTAATAAGTATTTAATGGTTAAAAGTAGGTAATAATATTTAATGGTTAAAAAGTATTTAATGGTTAAAAGTAGCTAATAAGTATTTAATGGTTAAAAGTAGGTAATAAGTAGTTAATGGTTAAAAAGTATTTAATGGTTAAAAGTAGGTAATAAGTATTTAATGGTTAAAAGTAGGTAATAAGTATTTAATGGTTACAAAGTATTTAATGGCTAAAAGTAGGCAATAAGTATTTAATGGTTAAAAAATATTTAATGGTTAAAAGTAGGTAATAAGTATTTAATGGTTAAAAAGTATTTAATGGTTAAAAGTAGGTAATAAGTATTTAATGGTTAAAAAGTATTTAATGGTTAAAAGTAGGTAATAAGTATTTAACCTAAAACATTTAATGGGCAGTTGAAGTTGAGATAAAAGATTTATCCAGAATCAAAATACTTTAGGAGGGGGCTTTTTTAGTGGTGCAAGCTATCATGAGCTCACTATGTTTGTTCAGTAGATTGGGGTTGTTAATATTTTTGAGTATGAATCTTTTTTCCAACAAACAAACAAACAATCATTGCATTGGTTGCTGCATCCGGAAAAGGGTGTAGTTTTGGTGAAAAAATTCCATTATACTACTGGTGTGTAGTTATTTCGTTAGATTTTTCAGTAAAATTTTGATGGTGCTATGACATTTGGATATTGTTTACTGATAATAGTCATTTTATGATGTTAATACTGGGTTTATATATATATATATATATATATATATATATATATATTTTTTTTATTTTCAACATCATCACTTGATAAGACACAGAGTGTGTTGAAACAAAATGGCTATTTTTGTAGTGATTTTATAACATATGTTATAATTTTTTTTATAAAAAATAATTATATACATATATATATATATATATATATATATATATATATATATATATATATATATATATGAAAATTTCTCTGATTTAACTAGTAGATAAGATAATTATTCATGAATAAAATGACAATAGGAAAATTAGTAATTGCTGACGCATTTCGTCCAATGTGGACTTTATCAAAGCAAAATACGAAAAAGTCCACATTGGACGAAACACATTAGCAATTACTAGTTTTCCTATTGTCATTTTTATTCATGAATATATATATATGTGTAACTTTTAAAAAAATTAGGAGATCATCCGATCATGCTACCTTGGTTTAAACCTTTTGGTATCTTCAGGTGATTTGGATTGGTCTAAATCAACTCTGACCAATAATGTTCTTATAATTATATATATATGTGTGTGTATGGGTAAAAATTCAGATATAACTAAAAATATATCTTTAAAAAGACAATATGGATAAAGACAAAAAGAAAACCTTCCTTTGCTGATGTGTTTCATTCTAAAACTCATGGGCAAAGAAGTTTTCTTTTTATCTTTTATTCATGTACCTATCTATCTATCCATATATATATATATATATATATATATATATATATATATATATATATATATATATATATATATATATATATATATATATATATATATGCAAAAAATGATATATAATTTTTTTATATATCAAGGACAATTTTAAAAAATTAATAAAAGTATAAAAAAATTGAAATTTAAAATTCTTAGTTTCCCCTCTCCTTTGTGTGAATATGTAATTGCATTAATGTAAACATCACCTTGGTCCAATGAAGTTTGTTACTAGAAAAGAAAGAAAATGCGTGACTTTTAAAAAGAGTTTAAAGATAGAAATCCTTCCGAATGGGTAGAAAATAAATAAGTTACTCATTTTCTTTCGTTTCTCGTCATGAGCAAAGCCAGCTTGGCAAAAATATTTGATCTCATTATTTTAAATAAACACACAAATACATACACACACAATACATTTTTTATCTGATGAAGCCTGAAAATGGGTGAAATGCATTATCAGATATTTTTTTGAAACATTATACTTTCATGAACGTTTTTTTCCAATTGTCATTTAATATATATATATATATATATATATATATATATTTGTAGTTTTAACAGTAAGATAAAATTACCTTACAGATCAAAAGTGGTATCCACAGTGAATGAATAATAGTAGTTATAATGGAGGCAAATGTATACACAATATGGTTTCTTCACAGAATACAGCACCTTAACCTAACATATATGTGAATTAAGTGCATACATACACAAACTCCATCAAAACAAATGATCATATGCATAGGTTTATATTCTAACATGATGGAAAAATCATGTAGTCATAATAATTAGGTTTAGAAATTCAATGTTTATAGAAGTCTTTGTTAACTTTAATTACATAACATGTTAGAAATGTCATTACTTCGGAAGCTCCTGGGTCTAAGTCCTCTTGTCTCGACTCTATGCTTTCAATAATATAGTCAATATAATATATATAATATTAATATAGACAATAATCTTTAGCATGTTTAGTTGGTTGAAACAAAACTAAATGTGTGAATAAAGTTTTTTTAGTAAAAAAAAAAAACCCCAAAACTTGTTTCTTTTTGTGTTTTTATTACGCAGGCAGATGGAAGATAGACTGATCGCCAACGCAGAGAAAGAGAAAGAAAATATTAAAGAGGATCATATTCAAGAAATGCATCAACTGGTTTCGGAATTCAGTCGGGCTCAGCAGTTGCTGAAAAATAAAATATCAGTCCTTAACATGGAGTAAGCTTATTTTCGTTTTTCAGAGATACGCAAGGGACGCAACTTTGTATCAAATCAATTAATTATCGCCCTTGGCATTAGCTTTTTTTTTTCCTCTTCTCTTTTCTCTCTCTCTCTCTCTCTCTCTCTTTCTCTTTTTCTCTCACACACAATGACAGTGATGGGAAAACTGAAGCCTGCTTGGTTTTCTGAATGGTACACTTAATTTCATAAGAAAAAATAATGTTCCTTAAAATTTTGTTTAGTTTCATTCTCCCTTATTCAAACACGCTGTCTCGTACATGACAATGGTTGAGTACAATGTTTCTTTAATGTAGTCAGCTTTCATTGAAAATAACATTTTCAATATTTTCAACCTTTGACGATTTTCACTAAGGAAGTTCATACTTGCAAACATCTTTTAATCTGGAAACAAGAAACGTTCAAAATAATTTATAAAGAGATAATAAAGAGATATATTTTTTATTTTAGAAAATTATTTTTTGTAATTCAAAATGAATAAATTAGAAAGAAGTCACATGCAGTTTTGTGTGTCAATTAGTCATAATACAATACCAAGATTTCAATTTTTTATTATAGAAAAAAATCTTTTCTCCAAAAAAAACAAAAAAACCTAACTTTCCTCCCCATTTCTGATATTAAGTATTTGGTCTTTTGTAATAAAAATGGCTGAGGCATCTCCAGTGAAAAATTACCATGTAATCTATTTTATGATGAGCCCTGTCTTGTGTATCGAAAAAGGTTTCCCATACATCTCTTTATAATTCTGGACCTTTATTTTGAAATTCTTTAATTCGTATGCATAATTATCTAAAGAATGTTTTGATATTAAATCATCCCCCACTTTCATGTTACAATTTCTTATATTTGTTGAATAATTTATCAAATTTTGAATGTTATTTGTGTCATTTTGAATAACAGTTTGACCATCTTTTTCTGGCAATAAAATGGAGATCTAAACAAATATTGATTATTTTTAGATTGTTGCAGTCTGAGGAACGATATAAGAACAGAGAATCGCGAGCTGAAGATTTGGAAGAGATATGCCGACTTCGGAACACCATAACTGATAGAGAGACACAGATGAAAAAGTTTCAGGTATAAAGATCATATGTCTATTCTACATTGAAACTTTTTGTGTTTTTCTGGTGAGTAAACACACACACATACATCAGGAGTAAAATGTATTCATTTGTATATTAAAAAAGTCCAAAGAATTGCATGGAATATATAGAGAAATATGGTTTCAAAAGCCTAATTGACCAATAACTTTCTTGTTCTAGTTTCCAAGGTATGAATATTATGACCAATAAAAAGAAAATAATTTATAATTTTTGTAATCCATATATAAAAGGGAATTTTACACACAATGGGATTAATTTCGTTTTTTTTTTTTTTTTTTTTTTTAAACGTCAAAGAATTTATGTAGTATTTTCTGAAAGTGATCAGAAGTTTTATTTAAAAATGTTGTTTTTTTTGCACTGTTCTTCCCAGGAGGAAAAAAGGTTCTTCCAAATGGAATTGATTAATCGAGAAACAAATTTCAATAAAATCTTTGGTTCAACTCCACAAGTTGGTGTGATAAATCCTTTGAACAAGGTTTGTATTTGATTTTATCTATGACTTCAAAGTTGGAAGTATTTTTGGATTAACTTTTATGTGAAATGAAACCCAAGTTAATTTTACCCAATATTAAATGTAACATGTTACCTTTTAATATTTGACAAAAAGGTCAAATGTATTTTAGGAAAAAAATTCTTTGCTCAAAATACCAGTCATTGAGATTTCCATTATTATTTGAGTATGATAATTTGAGGAATTATTATTTTGGGATTAGCACTTACTTCATCAGACCCAATAGACTAACACTACTAAATCAAAACAGAGAAAACAAACATCACTTGAAGACTTCCAACAGCTGCAACAACAAAAATGAATAGCACATATAATTAGAAGGGAAAAAATGATATGCTTTCCATATTACCAAAAGCAAAAGGTTTGGAAGGAAACTCCTGATGTCTGAGAAAGAGCTATAACAGCTAGTGGACTTGAGAAGCTGAATTTCCAGAGAAACTCTTTTAAGGGAAAGATTTTATAAATATCAACTGACAGTAACACTATCTGTGTTGTCAATGAATGCCTAATGTTGCCTGTTTGGAAACTGCTAATTTTACCATTATCATCGTCTTTGGCCATTTTGAAACTTTTATTTGTGTTCTTGCAATGCTTATAGGTTTTTCCTGAATGTCATGAAGTAAAAGAATCGTGAAAGGTAATACACAGTTTCGATAGTTGTTTGTGACAAGTCATTAAATCAGTTAGATTTTCATGAGTTGAATCAATATTTTGATTTGAACTTTGTTTAAGGTTTTCATTAACATTGATGAGAATCATTCAGATTTGTTTTCTAAGCTTACTTTAGCCAAAATATGTTTGCCCCAACCTTCCCATAGGGGAGTGTCGATCTGCCTTGAAAAGTCACCATTCACAATCCTGGCCTTTTACACTGATGGAGGGTAAATAAAAAGTAGTTAGGACACTAATGCCAGTGTACAGGAGTCAAGTAACTTACCAAATTATTTTTAGTTCATGATCAATTTAAAAGTAAATAGTAGAAATTATTTTTTAGTTTCTATCAATATAGTGAACAAAGTCAAATGTTAATTTTTATTTTGATAAATCATTTAATTGCAACTACTTTTGATATCAGAGTCAAATTCCCTCCCATAAAAAGAAGAAGATTTTTTTCAACAAAAAAATATATTGGAAAATAAATGTACCAATTTGTGGGCAACACAAAATTTGCTTATGTGTTTTTAAATTAAGAACCAGATGACAGAGTTAGTTAACTTGCAAAAGTTAACTGAATGGAATATTCAGAATATTCGTTCATAAAATGGGAGTGGAAGAATTTGAAGAGGGATAGGAAAAATAAACTTCAAAAAGTCAAGTTGGAGGATGAAGAGCCTACATGTTTTCAGTGTGAGGTTGGCAAATATTTTTCATAGGAAATGTTATGAATTATTTTAAGTGGGGCCATTGGAAAGAAGAATTTTTCTTTTTAACCATTCACCTGTATTTATTTACATTTATTTATTATTACAAATGACTTCTGCATTTGTTAAAAATGCAGAAGTTATTTATAATAATAAATAAATGTAAATAAATACAGGTGAATAGAGCTGAACTTTAAAAAAAAATCAAGTGAGGAGAAGTGGAGGTAAAAGATAACATTGGCACCAGATCTTAGTCTTTTCACTCAGTCCTGCTTCTTTTATTCATATAAATGCCCCAGTATTTTTTCTTGTATGTCAAATTGACAGTTGTGGTTTAAAACCTGATTAATGTCATCATATTTAATTTAGAAATCATCTACAATTTTTCCATAGTGATTGCTATTCTAAAATGTTTATATTATATATATATGTGTGTGTGTGTGTGTATATATATATATATATATATATATATATATATATATATATATATATATATATATATATATATATATGTATATATATGTATATATGTATATATATAGAGAGAGATATTTAATATAAATATTTTAGAATATATATATATATATATATGTATATATATAGAGAGATATTTAATATAAATATTTTAGAATATATATATATATATATATATATATATATATATATGTATATATATGTATATATGCATATATATATAGAGAGAGATATTTGATATAAATATTTTAGAATATATATATATATATATATATATATATATATATATATATATATATATATATATGTGTGTATATTATAAATATGAAAAAAATATCAATATTTAATTCTGGAGGGAGTAGTTAAATGCAAAATAAGTAACAGAACTGTACAAAAAACAAAATTGACAAAGGTTGCAATAGAATAGAACAGAACAAAAAAATAATATAAAGCAAGCAAACAATATATACAAGGCAAATTAACAGTAATAAGGCAAAGCAACAGTTAATATGTCGAAAAGTTCACAAAATAATAATTGGGGTTGATACACAAGAGTAAATTTAGATGAACGAACATTGCATTCTGATTTCAAGGCAAGACAGACTGGGATTGAGTCAGATGAAACTGAGGACTAGCCTGTTTTATTAGCTAGGAAGAAATCCCATCATGTGTATGTGTGTTTCTGCCTGTGAAATGGGGTTTGGCAATGTAATTTTCCTGAAATATCTAATTTTTTCATTGCAATTTATATAAATTTTATTCAGTAGTGTCTTGTAAATAAACTGCCAGCATTTTAGCTAACGTATACTTGGTTTTGTGATTAATGAATGTTTATTAAATCTTCAAATCTTATTTGCTTTTTGGGTCTGCATTTGTTTTTATTAACTTGGTTACCAGAATGTAGTTGTCAAAAAACAAAAAGAAAGAATTGATATATGAGTATATAAACACTCCATCTGCCGCACTCTTGCATTTTTCTTTGCCTGTAGAAAAGTTAGAGCATAGCAGATGGAGAAACCAAGAATGGCTCTTCCTTTTATTAAAACAGGAATATCAAGAAGAAGAAGAAGAAGAAGAAGAAGAATAATAATAATAAGAATAATAATAATAATAATAATAATAATAATAATAATTTGTGTACAAGACTCATTTAAGAGTAAAATATCTCTGCATTTATAGTTGAAAAGTGAGAAAGTACTCTTACATTCTTGTCAATTATAAACACTGCATAGGTTAGTATATAGTGCAGGTTTTTATTATCAGTTTTTTTATTTTATTTTATTATGGGAGGAGGTTGTACTATACACAGGTAATTTTTTTTGAAGACATTAAAACTCATGCATTTTCAGTGACCAGTTGCACTACACACAGGTAAATTTTTCCCTGGAGGTGTTAAAATTCATGCCAAAAAATTCAGGGGTTGCATTATACATGAAGTCACCTTATACACGAGTATATTTATTGGGTGCTCACAAACAGAAGTGAATAAAACAATTTACTTAGCACAGATTCAAACGAAGAAACTCTTGTCTTCACAGATATTGTCAGTTTGTCAGCAGCCAAAACGGAAACTAAGGACCCAACCTTCTACTTGTTTCATTCTTCCCCTAACTTATTTCATCTCACCCGGCTTCTTCTTCTCCCGTTTACACTCATTTCCTGCCATTTTCAGCTTCACCCAACACTGAACTAACATATATTCTTTTTAATGCCATGTGTCCCTTCAGGATGTAAGGGGATTGTGGCTCTCTACAGACGAGACAAAGAATAAAGACAATGCTGTCTTTGTGTTACTAACTATTTTTTTTTCTAGTCGGGAGGGGAGAGAGGTGGAGTAAAGAAAGAAGAAATGGCAGCGATGGGAAAAGAAAGCAAGAAACATTTCTGATCATAATTCCTATGACCAACGAATGTGTTTGATATTTTGTTTTTCTTATTTTTTGGGGGGTTAAAGTGACACTTTATATGAAAGGAAACTTTTCTTATCATTACTTACCTGTTATGTCAAACTGTTTGTTGAGAATGTGGATTGTTCCGCGTGGTCAAGCTAAGATGGAAAAAAAAGAAGAGAAAACACGTGTATGCTGTCTTTTCTTTATTTTTTGTCTCGTCTTTGGCTGAGGAGGAAGTGATGTAAGTCGTTAACGATTGGTCAGCAGTGGCATTTATTTAACGAGTTCATTTGCTGCGTGCTTGGCGTATTTTTTTTTTTTGCTTTAGGATCGCCTGCCAGAATAGTAATGTTTCGGTAGGGTCCCTTGGGTGAACACGTATGATGCTGGAAGACCCGAAACTTGTCATGATCCCATGTCATAACATCACTGATGAGGCGATCCTGAGCACTGGTTGGAGGGTTTTCATGTCAGTGTAATGGATTTCATTTCCGAAAGCAAAGGAATATCAGCCATCATGTCAGAGAAAGCATGTTACTGGTTAGTGCATGCAAAACACACCTGATGAAGCAAAAAAGTTTTGTTTAGGAAAAGACCCTGTGTAAATTCAGCCCTGTCTCTTAGGTAATATTCCAAAGGAAATGCCATTATGAAAACTGAAATGGGCCAAGAATCTGGACAGGCCATTTGTTTTCTCACTCTTGGCCTGTTTCAGAAACTCAATATGAATAAAACAATCATAACTCTCTGATTAGTTTACTTGAAACATCTGTGAGTCAGTGTGTTGATGGGGATATCTCTGCCTACAAGAGACATTATTTTACAGCAGGTGACTATGAGAATATTGTGTTGAGGAGATTTTGGCTCAGAGTATTTTTTGGGTAGTCTTCACCATTTGCATCGTGGGTGCCATGTGTGGTAGTTACATGTTCATCCAATTTGCAAAGTTTTTAATAAATCCTTGAGTATACACACTATCTTGTAGATGATAGGCTTTCTGGGGCTCACACTAAATAAATTTAATTTAGAGAATCAAAACTAAAATGCATTTTAAATTATCTGACCTTTGACCTGACAATATAATATAATAATATTTTGGCGGGGTTGTCTGAAATTAGTTTCTTTTCAATAGCAGAGATTTATCTGTACTTAGAAATTTGAAAAGATTTTCATGAGATCTCATGTTATTTTTTTGTTAAAGATTTGCGTGCATTTCCTTACAAAAACTTTTATATATTATCTGGTTCTTTTTAATGTTTGTCCAATATTGTTTTTACAACTTCAGTATTTTTAGGGAATCTCAGAGCTGCAATGATTTTTAATTAAAAAAAAAAACAGGTAAAATTAGATTTTCTACCTGGAATTTCTATTGGAATTAAAAAGACAAAGAAATGTAATTGCCAAATACAAAATAGGTTTTGAGAATTTCACTTTATTTCCAAATAATTTAAAGAATGGGAGAATCTTCAAGTTTTCATTCCTTTTAGGAAACAAGGAAGAATCATTTAGTTGGTATGCAGTTATTGATATATGTATTCCATAATATTTGTAGAATTCTTCATCTGCTACCATTGCTACTCCTGTGCAAACCAAGTTTCAAAATGCTTGGTCTGTTCCTTGCCTTCCAGAGAGACAGGTGAGTTGAGCAGTTGACAACTTTCACCATCATGCAAAAGGATTGATATTTGAAAATATAATTGCACCTGTAGATATTTTATAGAAGTGGCCATTTTGTTGGTATTTATTAAGAACTTTTTTTTAACAGTTAAACTGCAACTTGTCAGGGGCTTGGTCAGTTTTCTTTCTTTCTTTTTTTTTTTTTTTGCTGTAGTTGTTATTTTTAGTTTCAGCTTTTTAAAAATTTCTTTTTCACAGAACACATTTCAGACTAGCTTTTTCTTTTGATGGCTTTTTTTTCTTTTGTCATGACTTCTACCATTTCTTACTTTTGACTGTGTGTCTTTATTTGGTTGAAATTTTTATAATGACTTGAAATGATGCTAATATTGATCTGAATATTTCAAAGACATGAGTTTGTCCAACTGAGTAAGGAGCAACTTTTTCCATTTTTTTTTTAATATAAACTCATTTGGTTGTTTTGTCATCTTCATGACTCCATAGAGAGAATTTGAAGCACACATTTAGTGGTCAGGAGGTTACAATGCAGTTGTCTGTAATCCACAACAATTTATACAAGACTTCCTTCTTGACAGAGGCTGTAGCTTGGAGGTGGGAGGGGAGTTTTGGCTTATTACAACTCATTAATGAAATTATTACAACTTATGAACTAAATATATTCAGACTGGTCATAATGCAAAGTATTCAGTAATAGCAATTCTAATTGTTTGAATTAAAAGGAAGAATAAATTTTCATCCTGCAATTAAAAGACTTCTTTGCCATTTTTAGCATTTCAACAAAATTCTTGAGGCTACTTTGTTTTAAAGTGATTGCATTAATTATGAAGACATTTGTTTTGCTCGAAAGACATTCATAGCAAGATCTGTTTCTTAACTGTCTTTCATGCAGCCTCTTAGATTTTCATTCTGAGTAATAATTTATTTTTCTAACAAAACCAAAAAAAAGATCAACAATACATTGCATTTACTGTCAATAGTTTTCGTAGATTTTGACAATTGCTTAAACAAAGTGACATTTTCAACAGTACTAGACAAATTATATGACAATGTAGATTCATGTCTGGTAAACATCAGTGATAAAGAAACAGACAAATAGTGCTTTTGTAGGCCTTCATTTTTTCTGAAAGGTTATTATTCTTTTTAAATACATAAAAGGTTATTATTCTTTTTAAATACATAAAAATTCAAAATTGGCTTCAGTTTTGAATTTTATTAAAGAAAATTATTTTTTTGTGGAAAGCAATGTTTGATTGATATGAAAGATATATTAAGAATTAAAGCAATGTATTATTTTTCTTTTCTGCAGAAAACAAAGGGTGGAGAAAAGATTTTAAGGAAGTTTACAAGTGCTCCAAGCCTTCAGCAGTCACTGCACAATAGGTTGGAACACTTGCCAGGTTCACCCGTCCATGAGGAACACCTGAATCCCATCAGACCTTTGCCTCCAATGCCACCATCAGCTAAGAAGTATGTCAAGTGACCAATTCCAATATTAGAGACTCTCTTTCTGATTTCTATTAAAAAAAATATAATCTCTTGCAGAGAGCCACAGAACTTTGGGTCAGATCTTTCTTGGCAAGTGTCCAATGCTATACAGGAGTGTTAGAGACATTGCACTTTCTTCATAAATTGCCTTTGTCGAAAGGAAAAATAAAAATATTTAAAGGTCGTGGACTTATTTTCTAAGCCTGCCTCTGTATAGCTAAACAATGGAAATTATTATTATTTTTTTAAATCAGCATGACCTGTTGTCCAGTATGAGATTGGTAAACATTCAAGTCAAATGATCTGATTATCTGTCCTGGGGAAAAGTGGGAGATTAGAAAAGAAATTTGTTTGGCTGAAGAATAATTTTATTGATTAAAACTGAAACTGGTGAAACAAAGAATTCTCCAGAGTTGCTTTCTACAAAGTTTGGCATTGGTCAATTCCCAGACAAATGAAATGCTAATAAAAATGAAATAATCTTCATTCATCTTTGAATTTTTGGTTGCTTGGAGATTTGATGTTTATCTAATTGGTTCATTTGCAATTTGGGGGCCATTAATGGAAAAAGCACTTTTGGAAATTCATAGTTGGAGAAGTGACTGGCAGGCATCTTGTTGATGCGTTCATATTGACTGTATAATATTTAGAGAAAGAATTTTTTGATGACATGATTTTTGTTTTGTTTTTATTTATACCTCAGTCATCAATTTCAACAGGAAAAAGAACCAGGATTGGAAATCTCTTTACAAACGTCTTATTTTCTCAAGGACGATAAGAACCAAAGTAATAAAATATGATTGTGATGTAACATTAATACCCAAGAATTTTATGGAGAAAATGGGAAGACTGAAATTAAGGAGGACTAATCTGCAATTGAAACAATTTGATGGGTCAGTCATTAAAACACTTGGATGCTTTGAGGGAGTGCTTGAGACTAAGACTTGATTTGAGGTAATACCGGTCATAGTTGTGGAGTGCATAAACGATCATGGTCACTTGGGGGTTGACATATTAAGAATAGACACCTCAAAGTTAGTTAAGTGGAAGAAATTAGAAGTACCTGAGATTGGACATTTAAAGAATTATGAGGCGAGTGTTTGGCTCAAAGACAAACCGGTAGATTTTTTAGTCTTATAAAGTTCCTGTTCCCTTCTGCTTGTGGTTATAGTGAAACTTAATAAAATGATTGAACAAAGAATATTGAGAAGGTCAGCCATGGAGGTAGCAAATGGGCTTCTCCAATCATGGAGATACACAAAACAAATGGGATTTAAGAATTTGTCGATTACAAAGTTGGTGTAAATCACCAGATAGGTCTGGACTCTTTTCTCATTGCCAAATATTGAAATGGCCTGTCACTAGTTTGCTGGCATGAAATTTTTTCCCAAGATTGATCTGGAATCTGTGTATAATCAGATTAAAATTGACAACCATTTTCAAGAAGTCACCATGATAAACACTCCTATAGGTCGAAGGTGGATTCGTCTGCCATTTGGAATTAAAACATCTAACCACATATTCCAAAAGGCTATTGAGAAAGTTCTGGAAGTAATAAAAAAACATTGTCTATCAGGATGACATCGGTATTGGCATTCGTGCTGAGGTGGAGCTGAATAATAAAACAACAGGTTCTGAGCAGATTGAGTAATGCAGGTATGACAATTAGCCGAGATACATGTAAATTTATTTACGAGAAAATTTCATGCTTAGAATATCAGATATCTAAACATGGAATCTTGGCAGATGACAGACTTATTTGCAAAGTATCAGTACACCAAAAAACGAGAAAAAGTCTGAATCTTTCTTGGGTATCACTGACTTTTATAATAAATATATACCTCAATATAGCTACATGATTGAACCTTTTGTGAACTTGAGAAAAAAGAATAATGAATTTCAGTGGGCAGGAGATTGCCTTCAAAAAGTTAAAGGAGACACTTAGAAACAAAACAGTAGGTAAGGTATTTAATCCAACAAAAGAACTCACAATAATTACTGATGCTAGTGAACGTGACATAGCAGCAATCTTATCACAAGAGGGGCATCCTATTATGTATTTGTCAGAGAATGTTGACCGCAGCACAGAGAAATTATTCTAACATTAAAAAACAAGTGCTGGTAAATGTCTGGAGTACTGAATTTTTGTTTGGGTGTGAAATTTCTACTAAAGTTGGACCACAAACCCTTAGAGTTCATTTTGAGCCTGAGGAAAGAGTTGCCTAAAGTCACGTCATCCAGAATTTTGAGGTAGGCAATTAAGCTTATGGCATTTGATTTCCACATTATATATAGTAAAGGAAATGCCATTCCACATGTAGATGCATTGTCAAGATTTAATTTTAATACCCAGAATGTGGAAACAAATGACAGTTGCGAGGAAAGATGGGTTATCCTTCAGGCAGCACAAGTTTAAAAACGAGCAGGATCCTATATTAAAAAAGTACTGAATAGAATATGGAATAATATATGGAACAATATATATAGAACAATTGCTCTATGGTGGAAAGGTCTTTTAAAGAAACAAGGCACATGTTGTGGAGATTTTATTGTACCACTGAAATCATTAAGAAGAGTGATTATTAAAGCAGTACATGAAGACAAACATGGTGGTGTGCTGAACACGTAATTATGGTTGAAGCTACAAGCCTGGTGGCCGGGGCATACATGAGATATGGAAGATTATGACAGAAAATGTCCTAAGTGTGCAAAGATCAAGAACTTTAAGCAAACCAAGATACATTCATGGCCAAAAGGAAAAAGCCATGGATAAGAGTACACATGGATCATGCAGACATTAAACATGTAGGCCTATTCCTTATATAAATAAACTCATATTAAGCTTGGCCTGAAATGGTAAAATTTCAGACAGAAAAGCAAGTACTCTAAAACAGGTGTTAAGAGTAGTATTTTCGAGGAACGGAGTACCCAAGACATTGGTGTTGGATAATGCACCAGAGGTTGCTGAAGAAAGATTATGCACGTGGTAAACATGAATTAGATGTAGGCCATACAAAAAACACCTCCATACCATCCCTCAGTGAAATGGAATTGTAGAGAAGATGGTCCAGACAATAAAAGTTGGATTGAAAGCATTCTTCCAGCAAATTTCAGCCTAGAAAGTTCTATCAAAATTGATTTAAAGTTACAGGACCATCCTGCATGTGGACAGAACCCAAAGCCCCCCTCAGCATTGATGGGGAGGCAAATTAGAACCCCAATAACCATTTCCTTCTTAACAAATGAGAATGTATGATACAAAGGAATAAGGAATCGAATGCTGAGAAAGCACAATTTGTAATGCAAAAAGGATTTAATACAGAAATATTAACAAAAAATGGACAGGGTGTGTTAGCTCATGAAGACCAATTTAGATTGCAAAGAGGAGCTGAAGATATTGAAATGGAGGCTGAGCCTGGTGCTGAAGAGAGGGATCAGGATGATCACCAAGAATTGGAGAGAGAACGTTAAGAGAGTATGAGTGTGTCTAGTGATAATGAGGAACATGATGAAAGTTCAAGTGAATAGAATCTATTAAGAGCGAGATCCCCTGTAAAATGGAATCTAGGCAATCACCCTGAGACAAGTGGTACACCTGGATTAGTTCAGAGAAGTAGCAGATCTACCAAGGGCATAAAGCCTCTAAGGAGATGTGATGATATGCAAATGAGATTGTATATAAGGTTTCTACACTCGGGAGTGGAGTTATTTTTCCTTGACTACACTGCATACTTGTGAGAACTCAGCACAACAGATTTATTTGTGAAAAGTTTAATTTTTACATTTTAGTCAGAATGGAAAGCTTTTTAACAGGATTTTAGACTTGAAGAATGGTGATTGTAAATGAATTTCAGGACAACAGCAGCAAAAATACGGAGAGTATAATTGGAGATCAAGATTCAGAAAGCAAAGAGTTTGCCAAAAAGCAACTTGGAAGATTTTAAAGCAGTCGTTAAAAAAATAATCGATACAAAAAAGTAAGGAAACCAAATGTAGAAGGCTGAATTGGATTCAGTGGTGTTTGTCAGTTTTAATCTTTTTTTTGTTGCTGTGATGGATTAAGTAGAGATTTGCACAATGGATGTGAATGAGAAATTCTATGATATAAGATGAAAGTCTGGAGATTGCTAAAAGTTTGTTGTAAAGACACGATTCTTTTCAAACATCACAGGGACTTTCAAAGTGATTTCAATGCAATTCACATTACTAAGCAGTTTGAACTACATTTAGAGTTCAATTTATTTAAATTTGCAGTTTTGTCTTTTTGAAACACTCAAAGCCAGGATTTCAATTTTAGGCTTTTCAAATTGGCAGTGAATAACTGCAAATCAAAACATAATAAACATCGACCTCCCATCACAAAAAAGAGACTGAAAAATATTAACTTTAAATGGAAGCCCTTTGAAATCTCCAGTTCTAAGTTAAAAAATTGTTATGGTCCAGGTTAGGACCAAAGAAGAACAACACGAACACAAGAGTAGAAATAATGAAGGTATATTACACGAAATAATAATACAAGATGTGGAAGGTGTTAGTATGACTGTCAGTCTGCTTTGGAGTGAACTACTATTGGCTCGACTTGATTCGTCCCTCTCTCTTGAGAGGCGTAGTATACATAGTGTTAGGAAGAGTTCATTCTGTAGTTATAGGTAATGACCCATGACACAAATAAAACACACAAAGCCTCCATGTAAAACAAAGAAATACTCTAGAAACTTTGGATTGCAGTTAAATAATTGCTAAGGGGTTAAGAAGAGAGTAAGCATCCTTAAAGATGGGGCACATAGTGAGGATCTAGCAGATCAGTGGCATTTAGCAATTGAATAACTTATCACAAATTTGTCTCAAACAGAGAAACTATAACATATGTATACAACAAACATTTTCAAAGAGATAAAAAGAGATGGGGTCTTACTTGTACTATTTCCTGAAGGGAAAACTATCAGGATGATGGTGTGCTCTCTGTGACAGGTGAGACCATCTGGTTTTTTCTGTATGTCCAACCACTATGCTGTAGGCTTGTGATGTCCATCTCTGTGGCCTACATACCAACTGGCTTAGGCATAGGCAGACATATCTTTCCTCCAGCCATAATAAATTGCAAATAGCCGTCCTCACTATGAACTGACATTATTCACAAACTATCACGTTACTTTTGTGATTTCATCGCAATAAAAGGGAGATAATCGTGATTTGCTCATACTAAAAGAATATTATTAGAGTTTTAGCAATTCTAAATATTTACAAATGTTTGGAGGCACGGTGAAGTAATGGATAGTGGCTCGGATTGAGGAATCGGAGAGCTGAGTTCGAATTCCAGTCGAATCCATTACATTCACTTACGTGCTAATACCCTTGGGAAAGTTATGAATCCAACTCTCTTGGCCTGAAGAGGCACGGTGGGAGTAATAGATAGCGACTTGGATTGAGGAATCGGAGAGCCGAGTTCGAATTCCTGTCGAATCCATTACATTCACTTACGTGCTAATACTCTTGGGAAAGGTATGAATCCTCTTTTGTTCCCCCTAGCTATGGGTAAATAGCATCCCGATTCTATAGCCTTGGATGGCAACTGGTCTACCGCAGAAAGAAATGGCAACCTACTGCGGGGAAAATCTGCCTCGTCAGTCATGTATCGAAAGATACATGATCGTCTAAGCATGTATCACTCAAGGCACATAACTGACTGACTGTGGACAGCTGAAATGGCAACTAAATTCTCTCTGAAGTCTATACTAAAGGGAAGTGTAATTAGAATTTGAATTTTGGCAAAATCAATTTGTTGAATAATAATCAGTAGCCATAGAATTTGGATTCCTATAAGGTAGAGAGTGTGGGTTACAACTAGTTGGAGTCAACCTGAACTTTTCAACATTCCATTTTATGTTGCATTCTGAAGTAGTTCCTTACTACTAATTGATCCATTAATGATTAGCCATATCCTCACTTATATGCTTCCCTTTTAAAATGATTGCTGTGTGAATCTTGTTAAAAGAAACTTTAGGAATAGAATATGAAAAAAGATCTACAGAAAGCCATATCAATGAGAAAAAATACCAAATTACAGTTAAAGATGATGCCTTAATTGTCGGGGGAAGGCAGATGGAATGGTCTTGTCTGACGTGACCCACTGTTTGTAGAGAGTCGGAAGGTAGAGTTTTGGATCAAATGTAGGGGGTTTCGTTAGAAGTATTAATTAAGAGTGGATGTTTTCTAAACGATTAAGCTCATAAAAAAAATCACATGGAGGTGTAAAAGCCAATCTTCTGACAGATGAAATTGCAAGTAGTGTATTGAAGCTTTTATTTGACAATTGATGATTCAAGAGCCGTCTATGCGTATTATTATACATCAAATTTAATTTCATCAATTTCAAATCTGGCACATGCCGGGAGGAGTTTTAAAAAAATATTAAGCTCCCAAAACCCAGAGACTTTCACTCTCAAGCATTACCTCTCCTTCGGGAGAGGGCTGGGTTTATTGCCCGGCGCCTGAAGAGCTGCCAAATGGGGAAGTGACGGTGGGGTTTGGGCACTTTTTGCACTGTATAGCCGTTAAACTCATTTTAAATCCCTACCTTGTGTCACATTCGGTAACGACGTGGGCTCACTGAAAAATACCCATGGCACTTTTTTGTTGTTTCCCAGTTGGTAGGATTTAATTTGGGACGATGTCCAGAAATAACATTTTCTGAGTCGAGCAAAAGAAATATAAACGGTTAAATTCCTATATTTATTTATGTGAGTTCATACGAGGCCCCTCCTTTGAAAGGGGGCTGGATTTATTGCCAGGCTCCTGAGGCGTCGCCAAACGGGGAAGTGCCGATGGGGTTTGGGCAATTTTTGCACGGCATAGCCGTTAAACACACTTTAAACCTCGACCTTGTGTCACATTCGGTAACGACGGGTATGCGTTGAAAAATACGTTTAGTCTTATTCGTCTAATGTCGGTTGTGAGCAGAATTCGTCCACGGATGCTGGGTTATTTGAAAATAGGTGATCACTTTTGGAACTTAGGATTGATAGTTATCTCATTTTTTTTGTTTTTTAAAATAAAGCGAGGCTTCAAAAGAAAACACTTGATAGAAATAGCTCATTTATTTGATGCGACTTTTGCTCTAGAAACGCATATCAATTTTTTTGATGTCACATTTATCATATTTGATCTTTTTTTCCTCTATTTTGGAAGATGGGAAACAATTACATTTACGGAGAGAAGTTCTCATTTAATTGGTGAAAGAAAAAAATATTATATTCGAATGTTTTTAAAATGTTTACCTCTGAATTTTCTTCAGTCTAATATCTTCATCTTCGTTTTTCACAATGTTTTGACTGTGTACTCTCCGACCTTATTTTTGTCTTTGGTTCCAGAATTTTTTCAGATAAATTCTGAATTTCTTTTATTAAAAAGTTTCAAAGCCATATCGAGTTAAGAGTAAATTTTATGAGGAAGTTAATCGCTGAATATGACGCAGAAAAATAGATTCTCTGGCTAATTTAGAAATGTGACGTCATTTAAATGAACAATTTTCACATTTTTTTCTGTAGTAAATTTTGCCAAAAACATTTCTGTACGTTTTTCAAAAGTGATCCCAAGTTTCGGAAAGAATTTAATTCAAGATTCTCACGAGTTCAGAGCAAAATTCCCTGATTAGAATCTTCAGCGTTTCATGTTTGTAAAGAATAACAGGAAATTACGAATCTGACAATTTGGGTTTGGGTTTGGATTTAACTAACTAACTAACTAACTATTTTAAGGAGTGCTTACGACTATATAGCGTTGAAACACCGGTTACTGTACGATCACTGAAGTTAAGCAACGTCACTCTTGGTCAGTATCTAAATGGGTGACCATTTGGGAATACTAGGTGCTGGTCGGATGTACGAGTGGTGTAAGGGTAATGGCTCAGAATTGTTAATCGGAGAACCGAGTTCGAATTCCATTTGGATTCGTTATATTCACTTACGCACAAATATCCCATACCCCCACTTATGGGTTAATTATTAAGACATGTATCAGTAAATCATGATTGTCTCAGAAAATATCCTTACAATCTAAAACTAATTTTTGGCGTTAAATAGCCTGCAAAATGTTGATAAACTATAAAAAAAATAAATTAAATTAAGTTTTAAGGTTATACAAAATTATCCAGATTTGTTCGTGTTAGCAAACAAAAAGGGAAATGAAATTGTGTTGAATAGAAATCATTCACTTTTAGGGAGTTAGTATGGCCCAATGGCTCTTGATCTGCCTGATCAGTGAGGCAGAAATTTTAATATTGCTCATTAAAGCTGAAAATGTTGGGCGTTAAGATGTAATGGGAGAATGAATCTGATAATTGGGATGTAATGGCCATTTGCAGTTCAACGGGATGAAAGTTTAAGAGTCGTAAAAACCCGCACAACATCTGTACCAGGATAATGTCTTTGGTAGTGTGACAGCAGTCGCAGTATTGCAGTTATGAAAGTTCACTGAGTCAAAAATCTGAAGAATTTTGCAGATTAGGAACAAAATTATGAATAGTCAATTCATAATGTTGTTTCTAATCTGCAAAACTCTTCAGATTTAAGCCTATCTCTTATTTACTCTCATCTTGCTATATATCGCACTTCTACAGATGGAAATAGACAGCACAGATTGGGAATGAAGGGTAGAGTCACACCGAGACTAACCCATGTGCCTTTGTTTCAGACAAGCCCGGTTCAACGCACCAGCTGACCTTAACGGAGCTACACAAACTAAACGACTTTGGAGCGGATTAATTCTAACCTTTAAATCCATAAGTGCATCTAATAAAGTATTAAGATAACAGTTCTAATACTATGTGCACTGAGAAAGATCGTGGAATGAAGGGTAGACTTGATTTTGAGCATCTACTATGCGAAATTTAGAGCCTGAGTAAAGATGCAAAAAAATAACTACTAATTAACTTGTAGGCTGGGTCCCTCCCACATGTCATAAGTATTTCAGTTGTGCACATATTAAAGAAAGTGTTATTTTGTGTTCCCTCATTTTCCCTCTGACTCGGAACAATCAGGTCTCATCCATTATCCATCCAGTATGAAGGATCTTTTTGCCTGACACCATTGAAGTTTAATGCCTCGAATTGGGTCTGTTTGCTTTTGCCATTGACCAAATCCAACATACTGCTGCCGATGTCTTCACTGTTAACAATTAGGTCTCACCCATTGTTCAGTATGAAGGATCTTTCTACACGATACCATTGCAGTTCAATACCAACAATCCAGTGTGTTGGATCCTGCCATTGGCCACATCTAACACCCTGCTACCGAGGACTTCACCCTAAACCTACACTTCGTTTTCAAGACTGAAATGCCAAATGAAGATCCTATTAAAATCACTTAAGGGTGCGTTTGTTAAAGAATATCTACTCACGTTCTTAGCTCATTTATTTATGTGGTAGATAACTCATAGACCCAGGTAGAAAGATAACTTATAGACTCAGGTAGAAAGTTTGCTTACGGAACGATTGTAGGAGACGTAGATATGAAACAGATACTATACTACTGTTTTCAGCACATGACAAGAAATAATTTATTGTAATCATTCATCAGTCAACTTAGAGCCTCGTAATTTCAAATAGATATAGTCCATAGTTCTTGAGGTATAGTGTTGATCTTATGACTTTTGACATCGAGTAAATCGGATCAATGCTTGAGCTGCATATTAGCTAAAATTTTAAATGTGCCGCACTGTTGCTAAGAGATTTGAATCGTTCATAATCGTACGAACGAGTCTCCCTCTTTAACCTGCGAGGGAAGGACATGTATGTGATACGCTCTGACTTCCATAAAGATGCAGGTGACTGACAATAGAGATCAATATTATGCGACATATGACACGTTTCCTGGGAGCCAATGAACAGTTTCGATGAGAGTTTCTTCAGGCGATCTGATGATTCTGGGTGAGAAATTGTTTAATTACTTGTCAAAATTATGTAAAATCACAACTCAACGTAGACTGAGCCTTTTTCTCTTCATTGTAGAAACAAGAAATGGAATACATCCAACCAGTTTGCATTAGGGACATATGTGAATATACAACCGGGAGCCCTCTGGTAGTTTTTCACCAACTTGTTAGCTTCTGCCTGACACTGTAGATTCCTGTTTTCGGTGGGGACAACCCAGGGAAAGGGGTACTGTGTAGATTCAACAAAGAAACTGAACGTGAAATATCTCATGGGGAGGAAAGAAAAATGTCATTTTTTTCGACGTACTTGTTATTTATTCATTTGTCCCTGTTGAGACTTCTTCGCTGCTACTTGAGTCTTCTCTTACAACAGACTTACGAACCAGATCTTCTCTTGGGCCAGCGAGAAACCCGCCTTCGCCTGACACTTCATCTCTTCCGTCTTTAAACATCACATTCCCCCGATTGCCCCTCTATCCATATCTAACTTCGACTGTACTTATCTAGAATGCAGAATGAACGGAATACCTTGCTTTCCAGCCAAGAGGCACTTGATCCGGAAAGTTATTTATTTATTTATTCATACATTTTATTTTTCCTTACTTACTAAGAGTGTAGCTTGAAACTGTCGCATCTGGAATTGACTGACCATAGCCATAAAACACCGGTCGCTTCAAGTCTAGATAAATTCATATTCAGTCCACTTGGCTAGTCCGATTTAGCGAGGGTCCATTGTGTCACACACATTCAAGACACTAAAGAATGTAAGAAATGAAGTTCTTAACTTTTAAATCTGGTAGTTTTCAAAATAGGAATTTCAGTCGCTTTTTATGCCTCCCCCTCTACACGATCGTCATTGTTCGGAAATGGAAGGGTAGCTCGAGACTTGCGATGAAAAGAAACTGAAATTAAAATGGAAGAAATGAGAGTTAAAAAATAAAGTCACAATGTTCTTAAATTAAAATATTACAAAATGAAAGTCTTATATATATATATATATATATATATATATATATATATATGTATGTATTGTCGTACACAGACTGTTTCAGTGTGACTATATATATTTTTTTTTTCTCTTTCATTTTACTTTTAGTGACAATCTCTCAATGTTCCCACACTGATCCTTACTCGCAAAAAAAATTCTTTCAACACTAATACCGTCCCCACCCCTAGTCCTGCAATCCCCTTTTTTCCTATGTTCAAAATATCACCACCCACCACCAATCACCATTTTTAAATCTGAGGTAATTTTCACATTAAGTTTCGCACAGTGAGAAATCAAACTGGGAACGGATTTTTTTCTAATAATTCCACCTGCAAACGGACTCTACCCACCTCAAAAGACTAATGTTGGATAGTTTCCACCGTCACTCTGTTTATTTCTTGCATCCGCTGATGAAGAACACAGGCGTGTTCGAAAATTCCGAATTTGGAACCTTAATCTCAGTGCTTCATTTTTGTCACCTGGTTAATATTAATAAATGTTTTTCGTATTGATTTCATTGGTACACTTTCGTTTGACTTTGTTTTATTGACCAATTTATCTACTCTACTTTATATATATATATATATATATATATATATATATATATATATATATATATTTGTGTGTGTGTGTATATTTATATATGTACACATATTTTTTTTTAAGCGTTTCACCCCAAGCAAGGCGGGAAGCCACTAGGACGCAAGGGGTTACAGGAAATAGCAAGATCAGATAGGAGTGATAGAAGAAAGGATGAGGGTAGTGGATAGATCAAGGCAACTGGAGATGTCGATTGACATTACACTTGAATAGCTGGAGATTATAGCTCACAGGGAAACAGGAGAAGGAAAGGGAGTTCCACAGGCGAGAGGTGCGAGACATGAAGCTATTAGAGTAGAAGAGACGGCTACATTTAGGAGTTTCGACAGTGAAGGGGTGAGAGCGGGATGCCAGCCTCGTTGGGCGCTTGAACTCATGAAGTCTGGGAACCAGCGAATGCAGCTCCTCGGAGCAATTTCCATGAAAGTATTTGTAGAACAGACAGAGGGAGGCGACGGTGCGTCTGTGAGAAAGTGACTGTAGACGAGACGCCAGGGCAGGGCCAACCATATTGCATATCCGCCTCTGGAGCCTATCAATAACTCCAAGGCAAACAGAAGGGGCACCAGACCATATATGGCAGCAATACTCCATGCAAGGGCAAATTGTGGATTTGTATATCTGGAGGATCGACTCAGGGAGAAAAAAACTTAAGCGCGGCTCAGGGAGCCAACTTTCCTCGCAGTGGACGAGGCAATTGACTCGATGTATTTATCCCATATATTAGTATTAGAAAAAAATAAAAATAAATAAATCGCGATCTTTTTGTGCGGCCTCGTTCCCAGTAGCCATTACACATGGCATCACGCTAGACTATTTCATACTTCCATCTTCCCAAAGAATACCAGGATGTAGACAAAGGAATTGTAACTTCCACAGAGACACCACATTGGTTCCTGATAATGAGTGCCAAAATCGAAAATACTTGAACAAAAATAACAAAATATGAACTTTGGGAAGTTTATGCACAACTTCGTGCACAATACTCACCATATTATCCGAAAGTTGAAAAAATACAATAAAAAATGAAACAGACAGACCTTGTTGGATTTCTGTAATCAAATATATTGAGTTGGTGCATAATTATCAAGCGTTTTTAAAAAAAATTTATTATGAAGAAAGAAACATAAAAATTCAACAATATCATTTTTAAATGATTATTCCGGAGCGTATGATTATCGACACGCATTTTTATAACCCGAAAAGAAAATAATATTTTTATTAAAAAAAAAAGTAAACAAAACAGTAATTTTTATTAACAAATAACTCGCCTACAAAAACGCCTGATGCACCAACCCACTATATAAGGAGACGGTGGAAAAGCTATAAACGACGCATTTCGCTGAGGTCTTCGA